GCATTTAAGATCAGCAAGGATTTCACTGTTTAGCCAAGCTGGTCGCTTGGCTGCCATATTTACTATTCTTTCTAAACAAAGGGTCGGTTTGTTCGTGTAACCCCAAATGCGCTTCATCATAATACAGCCAGCTCTCCTGGACCCCTTTGCCCTTCATGTTATTCTCCCAGGGGATCCTGCCCATCTGTTCCCTGAGGGAGTCAAAGTCTGCTTTTCTGAAGTCCAGGGTCCGTATTCTGCTGCTCTCCTTTCTTCCTTGTGTCAGGATCTTGGGTCCTGTTAGAATCCAAACAGTCCAGAGACACAGGATCTTTCTTTGAATCGTATTTATAGTCTCTTCACACAGAAAGCAAGCTGAGAGTGTTTCTATTAACATGGCCTTTTCCTTTGATGATGGTGAGTGAGGAAAGCACGTAGACCTTTGACCTCTGACTATATATATATATATATAATGACCACTTGCTGTGAAATTAGCATTTTTGTTAATTTATAATAGCAAGTCCTTCATTAGCTTTTCACAAGATTTCTTTGATGGGTAATTTAGTTACAAGAGTGTTTACCATGTGAGTGTTTGCTATTACATTATGACAGGAACAGATAAGCACAAACAATACCAGTAGCATTCCACTAGTTTTCATGAAGTTTAAAACATCTGAATACACACTTATACATCTAACCATTACTTTGAGCTACACAAGTGAATTAACCTAAATACACCCTAGCAAGCCAGGGTCACACTGGGCTTAGATGGGACTGACCCAGTCTGGCAATTCCTATGTTTTGTTTATTGAAAATTGGATCTTCTTCACAGGCCGTGAGACCCGGCTCCCCCTGCGCATCAAAGGGGAGGGGATGGGTCCCAAGCTGCTCTTCAGCTTCGACCAGCTAGATATTGGAAAGGTCTTTGTTGGGTCAACACACAGTTATGAGGTAAGCAGATAGAGCAGTGCTGATAGGCCCATGGCATGTGAACTACAGAGTCTGACTGCTTCCTATACAGCCAAAGGTGAGCTAATCCTATAGAGTATGGAGACTCCTGAACCCCAGAGCTTTTGGTAACTGGTCATTTTGATTTGAGAGTGGCTGGGTGTCCTGAGTGCAAGCTCAGAATGAGCAAACCCTGGGCTTCATCTACCTTTGAATGGTGTGTATGTTCCCACTGTTTACTTCTAGGGGCACATTTCTCCTCGCTGTATCCTTAGTGCAGGGTTTCCACGTCTGATGTGTTTTATGGCTTGAGCAGCACTTTATGCACTAAAATAGCATAAGGACATAGCTAATCCTCTGCAAAAAGACTCCGGTGACTTCAGTAGACTTTGGTTCAGGCCTTAAATGAAATGCACCTTTGTGCTATGGCTGTTAAGAAGACACAGTGTCCAGGTCTACACTACAAAGTTTTGTTGGCCTAGCCATGTAGGTCAGGGTGTAAAAATCCATGCCTATAGATGACGTAGTTCTGCCGGCAAACTCCCCAGTGTAGATGCAGCTGTGCTGATAGAAGATTCTTCTGTCAGCATTGCTGATGTTGTTAGGGGAGGTGGTGGTACTATGTAGGCAGAAGAACTCCTCCTGTCAGCGTACATGGTGTCTATGCTAGAGGACTATGCTGACAGGTTTTGTACAATGGACATGGCTAGTAGCTGGAACAAGCTTGCTGCATGTGAACTCAGTTTTGTGGAAGTCCATTCAAACAACCCTCAATTCAGTACATCCTTCAGCTTCCTGAGGTTAAGGGAAATGCCACTTGATCTATTGACTGCAAATTACCACTTGCAAATGACTCTGAATGCTGTTCATTGCCCATCAATCTCTTCCCACCCCTTGCTCTCTTTGCATTGAAGACTTTAGGAATCAATCTGAAAGAGTTAAGAGTTTCTGCAAGTGAAGCAAATATTAGCAATGGCATCAAATATGAGCAAAAATGAAAAACACAGCAACCTAAAGAGGTACTAAATGAGGCAATGCATCATGTTGGACATTTTTGAAAGCCGTGCTGTGGCGGGGAAGGACATGCTTAAGGTGTTCCTTCACAGAAATATTTTGTACTCTGTGCATTTTTAATGCTGATGCCTTATTGCTTCTCTCTCTATCAATTATTATTTTCCTTACCTGAGACAAATTTAAACAACTAGATGTTGCCCTTAGTCAGTGTTGTTCTTGGCAGCTACACAGTGAGTAAACTTCAACTTAGGGGTAGCTTATATTAGGACCTGGTGTAACTAAGCAGTAAAATAGATGAGAGTGTGTGTGATTATTTTTATTCTTTCCTCAATGAGGAAGAGGAGGGCGTGCAACTATTCTTTGCAGCAATACCAGAATTTTAAAAAACAAGTCACATTTTCATGCTTCTCCCTCAGTTTCTTTGCTAGATTCTACAAGGACAAAAGGGAGCGAGAGATTGTAAAACAGATGAAATGTGTCTGTGGAAATGGCAGGAAGTCACCCTGCAGCACTGAAGAAATTTATAATTTTGCCTAAGGCAAAATGTATCAGTGAAACAATGTGTTTGACAGTAGTGGGGACTTTTTGACCAGTATAAAGGGTATGATCTGGAGAGAAGCTGAGGCCTGCATCTCTTATTCAAGACAATGGGATTTGTGAGTGCCCAGCAATTTACAGAATCCAGCCCCAAACTTACAATGTGTCACAAACAATTGGAAAAGTCTTAGATTGTGCTTGTGAATATTTATGAGATTAAAATTGTTTGGAACAGGTCGTGCTGGTATTTGCCCTCCTTGTTCACTGGCCTTTATAGTTTAGCTAAGACAGAGCTGATCCAACAAGATAAAGGAAAATAAAAAAGGTCTGTATTGAACCAATACTTTTGGATACTTCTGAAATTAGCAATACCCGGGTTTCTGAGCACTACTTAGCTTTATACAATAAACAGCAGATGCCCTCGTCACACAAAAAGAAAGGTGTCCAGCAAAATAAGATAAGTAGGTTAATAAAAATGAACTCATAATATTTTGCATTTCTGTACTATAGAAGCTTTCACCTGAGGACCCCAAAGTGCTTTTCAAAGAAGGGATAAACAACCATTTAATAAATACAAGACTAGTCCCCAGAAAAGGATGTCTGAAAAATGTGTCTATCTAGCTATCTAATCATGACAAGGTCATATTTTTTCTATTTGCAATCTGGTTTATGCTCCCAGTTCTAAATAAGAACAGTGGGCATTATCAGTCTGATAACCCAGTCCACCCAAGCCTGCAAGGTGCCAGGTTCCCTCAGCTTACTGGCTATAGGGGGAGTGGAATGCATTCAGCATGTTGCAGGATTGGCACCATCGGGAGCAATATGATTGTATGATGTTTCGTCAGAAACAATGTGACTGTTCTTTGCTGCTCTTGGGGACTTTTCTGAAAGCCCAGATATCTGTGTTCAGTATCTATCTTGTACTGCACATTCAGTTACAGTGGAGGATATTCTGCTCTCAGTTGCACTAGTGTAAATTCAGAGCAACTCTCTGGATTTATTTGGAACTATTGCAGATTTAATTGAGTGCGGAATTTAGCCCAGTGTATTTCCCTTGGCTTCCGACAGGCAGCGTCTTGTCACTTTTCCCTTTTCAGATGTTAATCATTTAATTAGAAAACAAATCAATTCAATCTGTGAGGAGTAAAGGTTCCTTGTATATTTCCATTCCTTCCCTTTACTGCTGCAGGCAATCCTGTGTAACAAAGGAGCCATTGATGCCCTCTTTAACTTGATTCCTCCATCTACTGCACTGGGCGCCTGTTTTACCCTTGACCCCAAAGAAGGCATCATTCTGCCAGGTGGACTTCAAGCCATCCAGATCTCCTTCAGTTCCACCATCCTGGGGGAGTTCACAGAGGAGTTTAAATTCAGTGTGAACGGAGCCCCCGAGCCTGTGAACTTAACTATTAGGTAAGCTGGTCTATAATGAGTATTCATTAATAATTGGCATTTCTGTAGCATCTTTCATCTTAGGACAGTTTTGATCCTTAGCACCCCTGTGAGGTAGAGTATGAATCCTCATTTTACAGCTGGAGATACTGAGAAGAGCAGAGATTTGTCCAAGGTCACATCTTAAGGAACCAGTGTCAGAGCCAAGACTAGAACCCATGATTCCTTATCCCCTGCCCTAACCATTTAGACTCCATTGTCTCCCGACTGTGTGCAGCATTCATATGGTGAAATGTAATTCTCTGTGAGAGGGGAAAAGTTCCTGCAAGCAAGGCCCCCAGTCTCCTTCATTTTCTGCTCATAACTAAACCAGGAAGTTACTGGTCCTCAATAAACCAGCAATAGCTGGGGCTTCCTTAAAGATCAGGCCAATCAGTATTTTTGATTTCAGAATAATCTGTTTGCATAGACTTCTGCAATGTGATAACTCCCTTCTGAGACCATTACCTGGCCTCATGCAGAGAGCTGCAAAAAGGGTACTAGTGCTTTCAGTAGGATTGCTCATTCTGGAGAACTGCTTGAGGGAGGATTGTACAGGAAATAGTCTGGCCAGCGAGAACTGGGGTAGCTCATAAACTCTTAGATTTCTAATAGTTGCAAGGCCTGTTCCGTTGGAAGTGCACAGTGTCCCAGCTGTAGTTCTGCAGGGGTTAGGAGATGGAGGAACTTAAATCCTTAGTCGTCAGGGTAATAACACAGGCTACTGCTCAGACCTTATCAAACGGAGTCATTGTGCCATCTCAAGACTCCTTGGGTGTCAGGCAAGTTTCCAATTCTGGAGCAACCTAAACTTTGGTGGGCTTAATTCACTGGGGAAAGTAACAGATAGCCTGATCCTTCAATGTGCTGAGTGCCTCAGCCCCCATTGAAATAGATGAGGATCATTTGAAGGACTGGACCTGCAGCCAGGGAAACCAGAGAACTCTACGCAGTGAGGTTCTGGCAGCTGCCAGTGCTGCAGAGTGGGCTCGAGCATGGTCTGTTCTTTTAATATGTTGTTAATGATTCATACAGAAGCATAGCAACGTCTACCGTGCTCTAGTATTGGCAATGATTGTGGTATTTCCTGTTCTTAGCATAGCAAGGCCTGTGGTAATCCATAAACCTCAGCCAAAGAAACATTGATTTATAAGATCATTAATTTTGCAGATAGCACTAATATAGGGGGAGAGGTGCAGATTCAGAGAAGAATAATCTTCACAGTCTGAATGAATGAGCTCAGTGGTGGAGTATGAAATTTAAGGGCCGATTCTGCTACCCTCTCCAGCCCCTGTAGGCCGCTCTGGTTGTGTAGAGGGGCCTTACATGAGCTACAGGAAGCTGGGGAGCAGGTGGGAATGTTTTGCAGTCACATTTTTCCTCCCCCAAACTGGTTATGGTATGTCTTTGCAAGAGCCGGGAGTGTTTTTGCCTTCTAGCAAGAAATAACACTTTAAACGTGTACCTAGGATGGACTTGACAGAATTGGCATCAAATACTTCCTGTCATGAGGGACCCATAGTTGCACCTGCTTCCCCTCAGTACATGGCTATGTAACTACAATATCTGGTGAAAGGGGTGGTTAAAGTGGGCAGCCATCTTTCCTAAGTGGACTAGGTCATTCATTTGACTTGATGTATGTTTGCTCATATTGCACTTTAACTCAATCACTTACCATCCTAACTTCCTTTGTCTCCAGAATACTGGAGCATGCTGTTTACTCCTGCTTCCTAGACTCCCGTTCCTTTCAGTGTGGCTGCTGCCCCTTCATGTTGCTGGAGCAACCCCCTTCAGGGTCAAAAATGACCTTCTAGCTAAATCCAAAGGGTCACTCCTTTAAATTAATTCTTTATAATCTGTCTGCTTCCTTAAATAGTCACTCCCTCCTCCATTTTATTTCCCCTCTTGGCTCTCTTCACTCTTCTGGTTCACATCCTATTTCGATAATTGTTCCTTCAGCATCTCATTTAATGGCTACTCATAGACTTTAAGGTCAGAAGGGACCATTATGATCATCTAGTCTGACCTCCTGCACAACGCAGGCCACAGAATCTCACCCACGCACTCCTGTAACAAACCCCTAATCTATGTCTGAGTTATTGAAGTCCTCAAATCATGGTTTAAAGACCTCAAGATGCAGAGAATCCTCCAGCAAGGGACCTGTGCCCCATGCTGCAGAGGAAGGCGAAAAACCTCCAGGACCTCTGCCAATCTGCTCTGGAGGAAAATTCCTTCTTGACCCCAAACATGGCGATCAGCTAAACCCCGAGCATGTGGGCAAGACTCACCAGCCATCACCCAGGAGAGAATTCTCTGTAGTAACTCAGATCCCACCCCATCTAACATCCCATCACAGGCCATTGGGCATATTTACCGCTAGTAGTCAAAGACCAATCTCATCATACCATCCCCTCCATAAGCTTATCAAGCTTAGTCTTGAAGCCAGATGTGTCTTTTGCCCCCACTACTCCCCTTGGAAGGCTATCCCAGAACTTCACTCCTCTGATGGTTAGAAACCTTCGTCTAATTTCAAGTCTAAACTTCCTAATGTCCAGTTTATATCCATTTGTTCTTGTATCCACATTGGTACTGAGCTTAAATAATTCCTCTCCCTCCCTGATATTTATCCCTCTGATATATTTATAATGAGCAATCATATCTCCCCTCAGCCTTCTTTTGGTTAGGCTAAACAAGCCAAGCTCTTTGAGTCTCCTTTCATAAGACAGGTTTTCCATTCCTCGGATCATCCTAGTAGCCCTTCTCTGCACCTGTTCCAGTTTGAATTCATCCTTCTTAAACGTGGGAGACCAGAACTGCACACAATATTCCAGATGAGATCTCACCAGTGCCTTGTATAATGGTACTAACACCTCCTTATCTTTACTGGAAATATCTCGCCTGATGCATCCCAAGACCACATTAGCTTTTTTAATGGCCATATCACATTGGCGGCTCATAGTCATCCTGTGATCAACCAATACTCCGAGGTCCTTCTCCTCCTCTGTTACTTCCAACTGATGTGTCCCCAATTTATAACCAAAATTCTTGTTATTAATCCCTAAATGCATGACCTTGCGCTTTTCACTATTAAATTTCATCCTATTACTATTACTCCAGTTACAAGGTCATCCAGATCTTCCTGTATGATTTCCTGGTCCTTCTCTGTAGAATCATAGATTATAGGACTGGAATTAGCAATACCTTCCAGCTTCGTGTCATCCCTAAACTTTATTAGCACATTCCCACTTTTTGTGCCGAGGTCAGTAATAAAAAGCTTAAATAAGATTGGTCCCAAAACCGATCCCTGAGGAACTCCACTAGTAACCTCCTTCCAGCCTGACAATTCATCTTTCAGTATGATCCTTTGTAGTCTCCCTTTAACCAGTTCCTCATCCACCTTTCAATTTTCATATTGATCCCCATCTTTTCCAATTTAGCTAATAATTCCCCATGTGGAATCGTATCAAATGCCTTACTGAAATCGAGGTAAATTAGATCCACTGCGTTTCCTTTGTCTAAAAAATCTGTTACCTTCTCAAAGAAGGAGATCAGGTTAGTTTGGCACGATCTACCTTTTGTAAAACCATGTTGTATTTTGTCCAAATTACCATTGACCTCAATGTCCTTAACTACTTTCTCCTTCAAAAAATTTTTCCAAGACCTTGCATACTACAGATGTCAAACTAACAGGCCTGTAGTAACTCGGATCACTTTTTTCCCCTTTCTTAAAAATAGGAACTATGTTAGCAATTTTCCAGTCGTATGGTACAACCCCTGAGTTTACTTATTCATTAAAAATTCTTGCTAATGGGCTTGCAACTTCATGTGCCAGTTCCTTTAATATTCTTGGATGAAGATTATCTGGGCCTCCCGATTTAGTCCCATTAAGCTGTTCGAGTTTGGCTTCTACCTCGGATGTGGTAATATCTACCTCCATATCCTCATTCCCATTTGTCATCCTACCATTATCCCTAAGCGCCTCATTAAAGACTGAGGCAAAGTATTTGTTTAAATATTGGGCCATGCTTAGATTATCCTTAACCTCCACTCCATCCTCAGAGGTTAGTGGGCCCACTTCTTCTTTGTTTTCTTCTTATTTATATGGCTATAGAACCTTTTACTATTGGTTTTAATTTCCTTTGCAAGGTCCAACTCTACATGGCTTTTGGCCTTTCTCACTTTGTCCCTACATGTTCTGACCTCAATAAGGTAGCTTTCCTTGCTAATCCCTCCCATCTTCCACTCCTTGTAGGCTTTCTGCTTTTTCTTAATCACCTCTCTGAGATGCTTGCTCATCCAGCTTGGTCTACCACTCCCGCCTATGAATTTTTTCCCCTTTCTTGGGATGCTGGCTTCTGCTAGTTTCTGCAACTTTGACTTAAAGTAATTCCAGGCCTCCTCCGCCTTTAGATCCACAAGTTCTTCAGTCCAATCCACTTCCCTAACTAATTTCTGTGGGGAGATCTGTTATGCTGATTGCCCTTACACAGAGCAGTACAGGCCTAAGCCTGAGCAAGACTGAACAACACAGTTTTCTGCCAAACTCCATCAAGGGTAATGGCCAGAGGAGGGAGGGGGAAGGAACAATGCAAACTGCTTTAGCAATATAATATAACCGCAAGTTTATGAAATACATCAAGAAATTGCTTTTGCAAAGAGCTGATCACTCTTGCAGTTGTAGCTATCTGCAAACTTTCCGATTCCAGCTATCTGCAATATTATCCAATCATAGATCGTCTTTAGGCGTCCCATGGTAACCCCCCTTAACCCTTAACCGAAACCCCCCGGAAAATAACATGTGCCTTGCCGAGAAATGTACCCAAACTGGTGCCAAGTACCACCCCTAGGGAAAACCACCAAGTGCCCCTCTACCCAAATAAACACCCAACTCTTGGGAAATAATGAGGAGGGTACCAGGTGGAGGAGGGGAGGGGGCTGACCCAAACCCCAATTTCTTAACTCATGATGTATTGTTTGTACTT